AAACTTAATAAACGCTTTCTTGTTATTAGAATGGTGGAATAACTCGAAAGGGATATACAAGTACTTATTTAGTTGTTTCTGAAAGGTAGAATGCTGTATTGTAAGTGTTCCAGACAAGATGTCTTTACTTCTTTGTACAGAAGTAAATCAAGAAAGGAAATGCGACTCTGGCTTATCATATACGTAACCTTGATTTAATCATTTTTGTTTCCTTGAGCTGAGCTTATCAAGAAGTTCGATAAGGGTTTCCTTAGGACCTACCCAGATAGCAACTGATGATGTGATCTTTAAACCACTTATAACAATTGATGTCATCTTAAATCCGCTCATGCAGCGTTAAGTAGAGAGTATTATGTAATGACATCTTTCGCGAGGTTATACAAAATACATAGCGGGGTTCCCGCCACTTCATAAATTTTCTCCTTCTTTCCAAGGTCCGCCCTCCTTAGTGGCTGTCAATTAGGGCTGATCCTCACTTCTGTCCTAATGAAAACCCTGCGATCCCCCCAAAATCTGCCCCCCCCCCCTCCCTAGGCGGTTCCTTGAACAATATGGAGTGATAGCCATGTTCATTTCATTAACGTTATATATTGTCAAGAGAATATTAACTCAGTTAATATTCCCTTTATATGTTATAATAATCGCAGATGGCCTTTTATGAATCTCCAGTTTAAATCTAGCCTACGTGGAGCCGTACCCTTCCCCGCCAAGGTGAAACGGAGGCGAGGTTTCCCCTTTCTTAATAGGCGGACTAAACACGTGCAATTAAAGCATCTCTCTTACAGTAAATCAACTGCGGACTTTGTTTACAATATTATGAAATCTGTTCCACTCTCTAATGCAGTCATTTACAATTCCGTGACATAATTAATATTTACTAGGACATTTAATCAATGACTCAACCCGTAATTGATATTCCCTGACTCAAGAGTAGCCCACACTAAACTGTCATACTTGAAGTTCGCTTTCAAGCATAATGAGTTTGTTATTGTCATTTTTTAAAGGAGCAACGTGAGGATTATATTCTGCTTCTGATTTGTGTTCTCAAAGAAGAGTTGTCATTGAATTTTGCATTCAATTATAATGAGCTTGTTATTGCTATGGTTTTAACAAGAGCAAAGTGCGAATTACATTTCCAGGTCCAATTTGTGTACGTGAGAAGTGTATTATCCTTTTAAACAGTTAGATATGAAAGTTAAACTTGGCTCGCATTGCGATATTAGACTTAAATGGTTGTGGGAAAATAAACAAGGAAGTAGTGGCTGTTTTGAAGGGTCTAAGTCTGAGGTGGAAAGCGTTCATTTGCATCTGAGTGTCATCGTGAATCAATACCAGTTCTTTAAAACAATATACATCGTAGAGGAAGTCGCTAATCGAAGGCCTTATAATGGGACCTTCCTTTTCCCCTTTTTCGTTCCAGGTCAGCAGTTCACTGACTGAAAAGCATGGATAAAACGTCAAAGATTTGAAGAGCGAGTCATTATTTCTTGTTTCTGTGGAATTAAGTTGGTAAACAAAGTAATTGACAGTTCAAACTCTGAGATTCCTGTACATGTCTCAGAAATTATCATGCGGAAATTGATAAGGTTTTCCATCAGACAGATGCATTCGGAGAACTGACGGTTTACATATCGTACAGAATTTAAAAAGCACCAGGAATCCTTCGTTGCAGTGATCAAAATGAAGGTTTATGATAGCTCTTGACTGAAAAATCTAAAACCTCAAACCGGCCGAGCTCGGCGGAAATGCGTGACCCATTAGTCAATAATTATTTAAGACTAGTAATTGATACCTTGCAAGGATCATCCTGTTACAGAGAAGTATCGGCATAGCGAGGCTCGTTCCATCGACTAGTCGCTTCTTTAGGCTGAAAAAGGCGGCATTTATTCGCTCTTAAGTAGCCCAATCGACGTGAAAGACAGCAAAAGAAATCCTGTATAATGGAGGCAGGTTCACTTACAATTTTTCTGTGCGCTCTTTTCGTGTTTTCTGCCGAAGGTAAGGTTTACATGCATCTCATTGTTAGAAGCCATTATATACTTGTATGTGTTGACAAAAGCGAAATCATGACCTAACAAAGTAGAAACTACCGAGACGGAGCTTAAAATTTGCGCTTTCTACACAAAATGTACTGTTTATTTCTGAAAATGGGGGTTTGATTCAGCCTGTACATGTATCTGAAAATGTAAAAGTTTAATGTGGTCGTCATCGAACGTGTCGGAATTGGAGTGAACATGTCAACAACGACTGCGGAGAAAGTAAGGCACCCTGCCGTTTCCAACCGTGTATCGTGCTTTCGTGATGTGAGGCTCGACAGAGAAAGAGGCGGCCAGTAACTATCACGAGAACCGTACAAACTGTGGGACAGACATAAACAACCCGACGAGAAATGCATGCAAGGGCTTAGTGTAAAGAAAGCCTGGAAATTCAACACAAAAGTGGAAGTGATTTACACGGGATAAGACAGTGTTAGTGAAAGTTCAGGCTTCATCATGTATCGAAAACAGAAAGAGGCCATTTTTTTTCCTGTTCGTCGCCTGCTGTCACGAATCTGAGATGTTGTGCTATACATGCGTCGTTCGAGACTTCCGTGTTTGCTTGTGATAGTCACCTGTATTGTAGCAATTTTTTATTTTCTGCTTCAAATGACGATAGCACTTTGGGTGACAAAAAGCCGATGCAAATCGCATACTTTTCGTTCAACAAAATTCAGTTACTGTTGAGTTTTCAATGACGGTTCATTTTTGCCGATTATGAGTGAGATTGCGTGCGTGACGAGGATGATGAAACAGCAATTACAAACCGTTTTCTTAAAATGGTCGAGTTCTCGTCTTAAAGCAGCATGGTGTTCACGCAATGCACCACAACGCTCCAAAAATGAGAAGAAATAAATGAGATAAAAGCGCGAGAAAACGAGAAGCGCTCATGTGTCAGTAGAGCAATCGTATACGAAATTTCTCTGCTAACACGTCATGGGGGAAACTTCGCGATATGCTTTGATCGAATTTCTTACTTGTTAATCATTAATTCTGTAAACTGCTTAGCATACTGAATATTTATTTCTTCGAAAGAAGGCAGCCACTTCTTACTTTATTTGTCTTTACTTGATGGTTGATTAATTAATTTATGAACTTGTTTGTTTTTCCAGAAGATGCAACTTCTGAAAACACAAGTGATATTTATCCTTAATTTTACGACGAAACATGTGACTACTTGTTTATCATATAAAGGGTAAAATATTCTTATGTAAGAAGGTCAAAAAGCACGCTTTTGTGCGACCCCGTAGGAAGCTATTTTAATGTTTATAGCGTCAATGAACTGTAAAAGGAATCAGCGGAATGAAATTGTATTTTTGTACTAAAACGCCAAAGCAATGAAACCAGCCTTGCCCAAAAACAATCGCCATCAAGGAAATTATAAAACTCTAAGGTAAAAGTCAAAATTATTGTAATGGTGACGTTATCTAGGTGACTGTTCTCCAGTAGAACATGAGTAAGAACCAATCAAAACGCGTGGATGATTCAGCTTATCCATGAGCAATTTCCATGTTTCCGTAAGTCCGTTGAGTGATAAATTACAGATGATGTCAAGGAAGATTAAATAAGCGGCACACGGCGGGTACAGCCGAGCTACTGATGTTCTTTCCAAGCACATTTTGACATCTTGTGTGATCTGTTAATGAACGGACTTACAGCAACATGGGATCTATTTGTCTTTTCTTTAATAAACGAGCAAAAGCTGTTGATGTTGTTGTCATCGTTGCGTCTGTCCTCCAGTGGATCATCACTGTTAGAACCGATCTAGATGATAGTGTAACTCAGCTTTTTATTCAATTCAAATATTAAGTAAAAACACTACCTAAAAGATAAATTTGAAAATAGCTAAATCGAAATATTTAATATCTAATTTAACAATTAGTTAAGATATTTAAAATGTTTATTAATTATTATTTAAATTAAGATTTGTTCTTGGACATCCCAAGAATGTAAATTTATACAGCGATGTAATTATTGTTTGTGTCATCAGGTGCGCCGTCGTTTACTAAACAACCTGAAAGACAATTTCTTGTCGCGGAAGGTGAAAATGTTACTCTGGAATGGAGGTACACATTTAGCGAAGACGAAACATTCCGTCGGGTGGCATTTGAAAAGGGTAGACTCCAGATTGTGGGAAAATTGTCCAGCGATAGCGCACCCAAGATAAGAAGGTCATACCGAGGTCGCTTACACGCGAACATGACAGATGATTACACATCTGTTACTCTCCTCGGAGTGAGTAAATTGGACAAGGGAAGCTACACGTTAGTAGTAATCACTGACCCAGAAGTAGATACAGCTGCAAGTACAGTGGAGATTTCAGTACTATGTAAGTACAAATAAACTATAACAAAAAAGGTTACACAAGCACTAGAGAAATAACTTACATGTAAGTAGTCTTTAACTTTGTCACTTTGAATCAATAATGAATAATAATACGTTCTAATTAAGTCGACTATTGAGTGCATTCGGTACGCTTAAGACTTGTTTGAGCCTTATTCTGGCTTGCTCGTGGAGAGCCCTCGCTGTTTAGTGAGATTAGATCCATACCCCCTTTCATCGTATAGAACAACTTCTCGGCCTAAGTTCAGCCCGACCTAGACTGGCGGCTGTAGTTCACCTAACGGTGTTTGTGAGGTTGTCATAAGATTATTCCCGCATAAGCTAAGGGAGGTGGCAGGCGCGACTGATGACGGATATGGCACTTAACCGACAGAAAGAGACCAGTCATATAATTTTCACCTACACAATGGCGGCCGTATTTCGAAAGTCCATGTGCGATTGCTCAACCAAAAAAAAGCATTGCAAACCTTTATTAGTTGCTAATGCATTTGCTCGTGATATATTTAAAACAAGTTTTGGACGAAACTGTATTTCAAAGTTGTTGTTTATGTTAATTTTCTGTATTGTTTGCTGACAATTACAGATTTAGATCAACCACATATATCAACTGATACCAGACCTGTGGAAGGAACTGACGTGATTTTATCTTGTATTGTTGATGGTGAACCAACACCAACGATATCCTGGACCATGGCTGGATCTCCATTAAATACAAGCGGCAATTCTAGGATTTCCTTTACGGATAGCAACAGCCAGTTGACTATAAGTAGAGTAGACAGAACAGACAGCGGAGAATACCAATGTGTGGCGAAGAACAGCCGTGGAAGTGTTTCATCTAATGTTACTGCACTGAATGTCCATTGTGAGAAAACTTTTTGCCCTTACAGTTCTTGTTTTTTTTTAATATTGTGAAATTTAAATAGTTGAGTAAACATTTGCTTAGTTTTGATATGTTTGTGATCTTCAATCCTAGTTGACAGTTTCTTTACTATTTCAAATTACCTAGGAATTATTCATTTATGAAGCGCTGACTTACTTATCTCCCATGAAATGGTTACATAGCTCTTGTTTAAATGCTCTCAGGTAACTGGGAAACTGCACAGTTTGGTTAGGTTGTAACAAACAATTTAAATCACTCCTAGATTTTAGAAGGCCTCCGAGTAAATCCCAGTTAAAGTAGCCATACTCAGATCACTCTGATGCATGGCACTTTATAGAGAATGTTTTTTCTCACAACAAATCAGTTGGGTCATGTTTAATGATAAACGTGTCTGTAGATATTAAGTAATTTTAGGATGAGCAGGTAATTTAGTGTTAACAACTGGGTTGAAAACGTAAATTAGCCACCGTAAAGGGTAAAAAAGCTGACGTTTCGAGCGTCAACTTTTTTACCCTTTACGGTGGCTAATTTACGTTTTCAACCCAGTTGTTAACACTAAATTACCTGCTATACTCTCCCACCGACGCAGCACCACAGTTTCTTTAGAAACTTACCCCTTTATTCTTAATTTTAGGATGAGATTGAGCAAGATATCAGGACTTGTCAATGTCGAGGTCTGATTCATCTGCCAAAAACCGGGGGCTGATTAAGATGACACAGATAGTTCATGATATCTTGCGAAAACTAAATTCGCTAATTTTCTTATCCCTTATTTAACAATCTGCAATAGAAGACACTCCTCCTGAGTTTGCAAAAGTTTGAGAACACTAGTCGGACGAGGGGCTTGGGAACTAGACAGATTTTGAACTTTGATGACCTAATATATGCTGCACATATCGGGTTATCATGTCATCTTCACCCGCTGTTCTATATTGACTGTATTCTGTTGACAAATTAGAGTTTTCATAGTGAGTCTAATGTATAATATTGTTGGTTGTTTGCAGATCAACCGGCAATCACTCTCAATCCCTTGAATACCACTCAAGCGGAAGGAAAAAATGTCACTTTGTCTTGTAACGCTACGGGAAATCCAGAGCCAACTATATCATGGATCTTCAATGGGTCTCGTATCGGTACGAATTACAATCCTAAGATTGTTTTTTCAAAAGACAAATGGAAAGTGACGATTACGAATGTTAGCAGGAGAGACAGCGGAGAATACCAATGTCTGGCGTCCAATAAAATCGGAAATGCTTCCTCCCAAGCTACACTGGATGTGAAATGTAAGTAGGATGTATCGTTAGGGTGACAATCATTCAATTGCATTGCTTGGAGGAGGAGTACCTAAATTTTAAGACCGAAAGGAAATGATTTAGTGTGACGTGTAAATGCTGTGTAAGTAAGATTTCCTGTTGAAATTGTGGGAGATTGCAAATTATTTGTAGCCAAACCCTATGATTTGAACCAATGAATGTCAATATTCATTAAGTTGTGTAGTCTAGACAAACAGAAGCTAGGAATGGTTTGGTTATCATCGCTGGTGCTCACAAAACGAAAATAAGAATAGTTTTTAAACTGGGTAAATACTCCGACTCATCTGCTACACGAAGGTGTTGATGTGGTTCACTTTTCACAAAACAACACAAACTCACGGCTTTTTTCCTGTCACAGACATACCAGGAATCACCGCTCATCCGCAGAATGAAACTAGGAAAGAAGGAGACAGCGCTAACTTTATTTGTAACGCTAAAGGGAATCCTGTGCCAAAAATATCGTGGAACAAGGGGAGCTCACCTCTTAGTATCAACTCCAGGGTCAGTTTGTCAGCGGATAACAAGAACCTTACTATAACGAATGTGAACAGAGTAGACAGTGGAGCATACCGATGTGTGGCTACCAACAGCCTTGGAAATGATACCTCCAATCCTGCTTACCTAGGAGTGCTATGTAAGTACAATATTTTAATAACTTTGTCACGAAATATCTTACTTTGAAATTAGAAATTGTCTCAGATTTTGATGACGTCAAATTCGGTGCTTATTTTATGTCGGAGAGCTTTTTAATGTTAAATCCTCCTGTATTCATCGCCGCATTTCTATCTCCTTCAATTCCAGTGCCTGTTCTATTTTTTTTTTTATCGTAAAATACTTAGAGAAAATTCGACATTCTGGGGTTCTTACTTCAGTCTTTTCATTCGATCGTCACCTTTTTCTGTGCAGAGATCGGCATTCGAGAAGTCAGTTACCGAAGCATAGCGTTTTTCTTTCCTTTCCGCTTTTATAAAATGGGGAGGTTTTAGTCATTCCAGAATACAGTTCATCGATCATGCGTTTTTTTTGTTGATCACCAATTTAAGTTCTGAATCAAGATGGTTTAAAAACGAGGCCTATAAATACTGAAATGTAAGACGGCTTGTTGCCTTAGAAAGCATATTTATCCGAGTGCCTCGTTTGCGCAAGATTTATTTAAACCTTGGTTGAGACCTATCGCACGCGTCTTAATTGCAATCGATTTTTCATCCATTAATAAAATTTCATGATCTCAGATCTTAGCTTTCGGTTAAATACACGTTATTTCTCAGCAAACTGTTAAAAATTTTGACTAGTTCTTAGCTTTCAGATGAGCTCCATCTAGGAATTCAAACTAAACACGCGAAAGATTTATATGTTAGCGGACTTACCCTAAATTTAAAGAGTGGAAAGAAGAAGTGGAAAGAAGGAGTGATTGAGTGTTGGATGCAAGTAGTTAATTTCGGGTCATAAAAGCAACTCGGAAATTTGCTTTCGGCCATTTTCCCAAACGAGTCACTGTAACAACGTTTGCATGTGTAAGGATGGACGGACGGACTCACGGGCACAATAACAAGGAATCTACGTTGCCACGGCCACTGTGAACTCAAAAACGAAATAGGGCAATTTTAGGCCTCAATCAAATCGTCCATTTAATTAAGATGCTTTTGAAGGACAACTTCAAATAATTTACTGATGGTTTGCTGGTACCACTTAGACCTGGACGAAGAAGTGCACTGTTAGATGCCTAAGAAAAAAGCACGACAACCTCGTCAGCCCTCGATGCCCTCCAAGCCCATGTGCCTCGTTCTCCACGAGCCACTCCTTAAATCAATGGGTTCCTCATCAATTATTTCGTTGCGCCTTTCTATTCTATTTCTTGAAAGGGTCATTCCATTGCCTATAACAGATGGCAAGGTAAAATAGAAGTCCTTTATATAAAAAAAGTCTAATTTATTTGAGATCTCTCACTAATGAGAGGACCTCTTTAACAGTAACATATTTGGGGGCCTAAAGAAACGTTCAGTCATTTTCGAATTTTACAAATACCGCTAATTAATTCAATCTACCCGTTTATTAGCTCACTATCTAGGACCATGATTTGCACTCTAATTTTAGTCAATTTTGAGGTTGCATTATCTCCAAGTCCTTGCCGCAACATTTGTTTTAGTTAAGTTGATTTAAGCTCGAGGCATAATACTGTTATCTGTTATCTAAAAATCGTATTCCCCAACTTTGCACATTTTGGTCCCTAGTAGGACTGATTAGACTTCTTAGGGACAGATCAGATACATCTCCTTTTCGAGGAAACTCAAAATGTTAATTTCTTTTCTTTCAAATTTTTTGCTGGTGATTTTGCTTGTCCCATATGAACGGCTGTAGATAAACCCAATATCAACCCTCTTCCAAGAACGATTGAGAGAATCGAGGGAGGCAAAGTGACTTTTTTTTGCAACGCCAGTGGAAATCCACTACCGACAATAACATGGACTATAGATGGGAACTCTGTGGACACCAGCAACAGTTCTAGAATGAATTTGTTTTACGAAGGAAAGCGACTAGCGGTCAAGAATGTGAGCAGAAGAAACAGTGGGATGTACCGATGTGTGGCGGAAAACAGTATTGGAAATGTTACGTCCAATGGCACTACCTTAAGAGTTCATTGTAAGTAAAATTTATTTCTTGTTAAATGAACTTGAAGTTTTGTTGAGAAGCTGAGATGGTTCATTCTTCTCTTCACGCAAAAGCCTTTGGTAGCTTTACGTTCTTTACAAACAATCGATCATTTGGTTTTGACAATCCATCAGAGTCTCGTTATCTCGAATGTCTATCGGGCAATCAATAGGGTCGAGAAAACAAACATTTTTTGTTATTTTCAATGTAGATAAACCAGATGTCACGATTATTGATGGTCCACGACAATTTGCAGTTGTTGGTAAATCAAAGAAACTCATCTGCAAGTACGATGCTTTACCACCAGTTTCTAAAGCGCAGTGGATAAAAGATGGAGATGTGATTACTAGAAATTCTAGTCTGCTGGTCAACGAGTCCCGCTTTTCTGTTCTATATTACAATGGAAGTCAAATACAGTTACTTATAAATCAAAGTACATCTCAGGATGCTGGAAACTACACTTGCCTTATCATTAATTCTGTTGGTAACTCATCCCAGAAGACGTCAGTCATAAGCCAAGGTATTGTATGCTACAAAGCACTTTACAAGTACGTTTGTCTTTTTTGGCCATGGGCAATTCAAATTGGTGGAACAGTGGGAGTCACATTTACCGTAAGCGCTTTCATATGAGGTTCTAGTGGGGCTACTTTAAAATTCCCTTGCCACCAGGATGACTTACTTATTGGAGAAGCGGGTTTGCATTTTCATTTTGGGGAAGAACGGAAGGGAATGAGGACCATGCGACGTTGCAACAGAATTGATGCAATCCACAATCACAAAAATAATAATTCAAAATCTTAAGCTGTTTAGAGAACTCCGGGATTGAACTAGTCCGTCCAATGCCAACAAATACTTAATCACAGGCGAAGACCTAATCATTCACGTGGAGCACCAAGAGTACTATTTCAAAAAACCTTATCAACCCAATCTGCTCTATTTTTGTCTCAGTTTAATCAGGAGCTAACTTGTGTGGGATACAGCAACTCTTTCTTAATTAGGAATGAAACCCTCGTGTTTGTTCTATTCAGTGAACCGTTACAAGTTATGGTTGCCAGCGTATTCTGTTTCAAGTTAGTCCCTTGATTGAAAAGGCAAACGTCACAATCAGAAGGGATGTTTAATATCAAATTAAACAACTCTTGCTGCTTTTTCACACAGAGCTGCCCTTAATCACCACCCGTCCAGAGGGGAAAACTCCCATAGAGGGAGAAAAGATAACTCTGTTCTGTAACGCCACTGGAAATCCAGAACCATCAATATCATGGATCAAAGATGGATCTTCAATAAGAAGCAATTCTCGGATCGGCCTTTCACAAGACAGTAAGCGATTGACAATAACGAATATAAGCAGAACGGACAGCGGGGAATACCAATGTGAGGCGAGAAACGGAGTTGGAAATGATACCTCAAATTCCAGAGTGGATGTTCTTTGTAAGTGTTGTAAACCCTTTAATTTCCAGGTCTTACTTGTTCTAATTGTATTTACAATCTGTAGCAGTTGCAAAGACATCCTTGAACCTTATAAAGTGGTCATATCTCTGCTCTTCCGTTCTCGAAATTGGATGCAATTGTCGTTTATTTTAACCAAAGGCACAATTACCCTTTGGATGCACGCTCTCAATGCCGAAATGGGTAGTGCAGCTGTAGTCTTTTCTCAAATATTTTTTTCTTACTTATTTCATTGTAAAATTTTATCTGGTCTATTTCATTTTGTTCGTTACCTTGTCCAGTACTTTCCTGTTGTGAAATTCATGGGCCGTCCATTGATGATCATTTGTTCGTTAAAAAGTTAAATGTAGGTCGACATCGACGAAGCTACAAAGCGAGATTTGCATGCCGCACGTTCAAATCATTTATTAGCTCTAACACCGATGCTATTTACTTTTCAGTTGAACCCGAGGTTACAATTGATGGCGATCAGGAGCAATATGTGGCCAAGGGTAGCAATATCCAGCTGATATGTCGGTATGAAGCGTCACCACCAGTGTCTGAAGTGCGATGGATAAAAGAAGGAACTGTGATTGCTGAAAATACCTCAATGCATATTAATGATTCAAGAGTGACAATTCCATCTTTCAATGAGAGTCAAATACAGTTGTCAATCACTGCAGCTTCCCTAAAGGATGGGGGAAATTACATCTGTAAAGTCACGAATATTTTAAACAGCACTCAGGATACGACAATGATCATAGTTAAAGGTAAATGATAACCAGTTGAACTAGCCAATTGGTGGAGAATATTTTCTTCAGCAACGTTTATTAATCACTCATTGGTTTGAGTCGCTATATCAAATTTGAAACCATAAGGTAAAAATACGATTTTACCCCTCCAGCTGACGAGAACGTTTTCTCCCGTACCACATTTACAACAAGATAGTCCTTGAAAACTGCTCATGAGTTACTGTCACCTTCCAAACCAATTATTTCATAGTCGCTAGCAAGTAAATTTTGCCGAAGTTTGAGTTCATCTCACGATAGAACGACACAAATACACAAGGACATTTTTACAGTAACTTTATAACCATCCTTTTGTCTTTTAAAAGCTAGAAGCTCAGTAGATTCTGTCGTATCGGTCATTGTTAAAACTGTCTTTGTTTTGATGCTACTTTTCGACATAGAAAAAGTATGTCAGACAAAAATATTCACCAAAAAATAAATATTTCTTTGGCAGCTTCAATAATGACAGGGGATTAAGTTTAGATGATAAATCAAAGGGTTATGTTAACAGAAATATCAGAGGTCAAGTAAATTCGTTACATGAGGTCACACAACTCGGGTAATATTCACGATGAAAATTTGCATATTTGAGCGGTCGAACGAAAAAAAATCATTTCTCGAAAACTGAAATATATTTTCACCAAAAAACTACATCACAATTATAAGAACATATTGGGCTACAAAATACGAAAGTAGGGAAGAAAATGAATTTTGGGCGACTTGCCACAATAATTCAAATTTGTTCGATGGATGCTGACATCCTCTCTTAAATACGTTTGGAAAGCAATTACTATTTAATGAACATGAAAATTTGTATTATTTTCTAAAACAATTTTTTTTAATGATAATACTGTAAATATCCACAGATAAACCTGAGATCGCGACGCATCCTCAAAATATCACAACTAGAGAAGGTCAAAACGTGACTATATATTGTAACGCTACTGGAAATCCAACTCCAACAATATCATGGTACAAGAATGGATATCCTATAAATAACAGCTTCAGCACCATTTTGTCACCAAGCCATGAACAGTTGACAATAAGGAATGTGAACAGAATAGACAGTGGCGATTACATATGTCAAGCGAAAAACAGAGTTGGAACGGATACTTCTAACGCTTCCACGATTAATGTTCAGTGTAAGTGACTTAAATTAGTCATTGTACATGAATAAGCACTAGCAGTCCTTTTGACGTGCCATTAATCCATCCGAAATGTCGAGAATTTACTTGGCTCCCTTAAGCTCGGCCGAACAATTCATTCTGATTTAGCAAGCTCTTTCAGCCAATCAGAATGCTTGTCCCATAGATACCTCATTATAATTTCTTTTGCAGCTCTAGCAACAATTATTTTTTTTTATCGGCCGTTCTGTCTTCTTCCTTTTGGATCAAACTATGCTTTCTTAGTATGGACGATCTTCTTGCCGGAATTTTTACTATCAGAGGGCGTCTTTTTCACTGGTTCTTCCTCCTATCACTGTTAGTGTTTTATTCATCTGCTCAAGGAGGTAAAAGACATTTTTCATTATTCGAAGACAGAATTTTAAAAGATTTGGAAGCGGAAATCAACCTCGTTGACTTCCATATATGAGGTATAGGCCCTGGCCGCGCATTGATTTCATCAGTTTAAATATCTGGAAATTCACAATGCAAATAGATTGAATGCTCTCGAGTGTGAGTTAAGGACCTTGTTAAGCTAAATTTGTTGAGATTCACTGTTTCAGTCCATTACCTTAAGCAAGATATTTCGATATTGTAATTTAATTAAAATGTTTAATTTTTCTTGTGTAATTGCCTCGATTAAACCTGCTAACCCGCTTAAATACATAAAAGATTGATCGAATTCATTGCTTTTAATTTCTTACCAAGGTAAGCTTAGTTTATTTTCCCTAGATGTGCTTCGATAATTACAAATTTTACACTCGCTTTTCATTTAAAATACTCATTTTGACCCGAAAGAATTCCGATGGTTTTCTAACTAACTACTGATATACTTACTCTTAGTCTAGTTCATGTTTTACGAGGAGATTTTGTCTCAATGGGAAGTGATTGGTTCCTGTACTGTGAAAATGTTAGTTGCCATCGGACGTAAATTTTTTTAAAATTTGACTTTTAGTGGCTGGGTTGTTTGTGAATGATATCACAACATACATTATAAATTGCAACTGTTTCTTGTACCCAGTACAATTTGTGTTTAGTTGAGCATGTTACTATCTGACGTTATGCAGCCTTTCTCCATAAAGAGCTTCCTTTTCTAGCACCACTTTATTTCCTTGAAACGAAAAATTGAGCAATGATCAGTCAGTTGTCTGACTGTGAAGCAAAGATACGCTGAAAAGGCAAACCGCGAGCCAATTGGTCACATAACGTAATTTGTTGACATGTCATATTTATTCTTTCGTGATAGTCCTTTCAAAGTAAAATTTTTTCCAAATTGCAGTTCGAGCTGAGATCGTCTCTCATCCTCAAGTGAATGTCACAAAAGAAGAGGGAAGTAATTTGACTTTATTTTGTAATGCCACTGGAAACCCAGCAGCGATAATATTATGGACCAAAGATGGATCTCCCACAAACAACAATTCCAGAATCAGGTTTTCAAAACATAACAGGCTGTTGACCATATCAAATGTGAACAGAACAGACAGCGGCCACTACCGTTGTGTAGCGAACAACAGCTTGGGAAATGATACCTCAAACGTTTCTACTGTTAACATTCAATGTAAGTTCTCATCTCACTACTGTACTGGTATGAATACTTTACTTTCTCTTACCAGGGTATGAATAGCGTTTTGACACTCGGCGTCGGCTGTCAGCAGATTTCATGCTTCTTTCTCCAATTCACCCTTTTTTTTTGTTTCCGCTATAGTCAACTTTTGTTATAATTATTGTTTAATAAACATGGCCTTTGAAGAACATTTGCTCCTACTCTCTGCAGGAAAATTTCATCCTATACTTTTTTTATAACAGAAAACGGATGTACAGTCATGTATGCATTTTTATGCAGACGTTTTGTTTATCTGTTATTTGCCCTTTGCTAACAAGATTGATTTCAAAATTGCAGATAAACCTGGGATTACTTCTCATCCTAAAGGTGTGGATATAAAAGAAGGAGGAAACGTGACCTTTTCTTGTAATTCTACTGCAAATCCATTACCGACAACATCATGGACTAAAGATAAATCGCCTATAACTAACGATTCGAGGATCAGTTATTCAGTTGTCAATAAAGTTTTGACGATAATGAATGTGAACAGAAATGACAGTGGAAAATACAGATGTGTGGCGAGCAACAAACTTGGAAACGACACATCAAAAGCTGCTAATTTAAATGTGAAATGTGAGTTCATTGGATTGTCCTTTAAGATATCGATTAGAAACAGAACAGAGCATTTTAATACGCAAAGTCTCTTTCGCAGTAAACACCTTTAAGTAACGTCTACGGGGAAATCGATATTTTAAAATCTTCTTTTTTGAGTCCTCGAAAACGATTACGAAATGCTCGTAAGAAGTAATTAATAATTTGGTCGGAGAACAAACTCTCCCATGAATGGCCGTAATAAGGTGGTCGGGAATATGCTTTTACCCTTTAACTCCCATGAGTGACCTAGAGAGAATTTCTTCTTACTGTGTCAATGCAATATTAAGCAGACAAGTAATGAGAATAAAGAAAAATAGCGATCAGGGAATAACTATTTGATAAAATACTAAATTCTCATAACTAACATTATAAGAATTTCACGGTTGGCATTGAGGAGAATTACAAATTTGATCTGGGAGTTAGAGGGTTAAAAAATTTGGAAGTGAGCACATCTTACATGACAGCTATTAGAAATATCTACCAAATAAAGAGATTTATCCATGTAAAACACGTTTGATAACTTCATTATACCTCGATCATCTTGCTAAAAACTGTTCTGAACACTTGTTCAAGATATACGCAAAAATTTTTGTTCAAGAATTTGACCACAACTTGTTGTATAGTAACATAATCGTGAAAACAATTTCTACCCATAGCCTTACTAAGAGAGTTTATTTGTGCATTTCAGATCGCCCTGAGATAACAAAACATCCGCAGAATGTTACGGTAACAGAAAGAAATAATGTGACCTTAACTTGTAATGCTATCGGAAATCCAGAGCCACAGTTTTCATGGTATAAAGTTGAAAATACTGTGAAAAGCAACAACAGGATTAATGTGTCAGCAGAAAACTCGCACCTGACGATAACAGATGTGAACAGAGAAGACAGCGGAGGATACCTGTGTGTCGCCCATAATGAAGTTGGAAACGATACCTCGATAATTGTCATATTAGATGTGCAATGTAAGTAAAACACTATTAATACAATTATGTACTGTTAACAGACGCGAGACAAGGCCTACAGCGAAGTGCGCTTTCAGGTTATTTCATAAGTTCGTGCCCTTTTTGAACTTTTCGAACTGTCTGTTTTATAAGCCTTGCAAGTCACGACCCATGTTTACATTTTTTCTATGGAGATTTTCAGTATCCTGCATGTCCCCCTTTGCTGCTGAAGCTACGTTTCAGCTTTGCCATTTTTTTGAAATATTACAAGCATATATACTGTTCGCTTCAAAACAAGTCAGAGATTACCAAAAGGGATTTTTCCTAAGTAATGATTTATTTGTATTCTTACGTTCATTACACTTCAGTTTTCGCTATCTTAAATAGAGACCGAACGATAATCGAATTGTAAGCCCCGGATTACGCACGGAAACGTTTCTCTTTATTCAGATGAGTCATCTGTCTCGCTGAATTGTTTAATTCCACAGAGCATAGTCTAGTTAACATCCATTCACACCAGCAAAACATATTTAAGTAAACTGAGCTCAAGTGAATGAAAGTATGACACAGAATGCTAAAATAAAATCACTTTCCTATTATGCAAATTTGTAAAGTACATAAACGATGGTACGAATATTACTAACAATAAAATCCTCTGATGAGTGAGCAGTCACGAAACAGGCTTGTAGGGATGAGAGTATAGTCTCTCTGTTCTTTCCCCTATCGCAACACTTATATATAAATTAATTATAAGCAATACATTAAACAGCGAACAAGTTGTGAACTGTTTGATACATTTGGAAAAAAAATGGCTATAACTCGAAATTGATATATATAATTATTTTTTTTTTGTAATCAAGCTTTCACAAATACTGTATTTATTCACAGATAAACCTGAGATCGCGACGCATCCTCACAATATCAGAACAAGAGAAGGTCAAAACGTGACTTTATATTGTAACGCTACTGGAAATCCAGCTCTGACAATATCATGGTACAAGAATGAATATCCTATAAGTAACGACTCCAGGATCATTTTGTCTCCAGGCCACGAACAATTGACTATAAGGAGTGTGAACAGAAAAGATAGTGGCAATTACACATGTCGAGCGAATAACTCAGTTGGAACGGATACTTCTGACGCTTCCACGATTAATGTTCAGTGTAAGTAATTTAAATTAGCCATTGTACATGAATAAGCACTAGTAGGCCTTTGGATGTGCCAGAAATCCATCATGGAATGTCGAATATTTACTTGGTTCCCTCAAGTTCGGCAGAAAATCTACTCTGATTAAGCACGCTGTTTCAGCCAATCAGAATACGTGTCATATGGATACCTCATTGTAATTGCTTTTGCAGCTTAAGCAGTAATTATTTTTTCATTGGCAGTTCTTTCTTCTTTCTTTGGATCAACCTATGCTTTTTTAGTACGGACGATCTTCGTGCCTGAATTTTTACCTTCAGAGGGCGTCTTTTTCGCTGATTCTTCGTCCTGTTACTGTTAGCATTTTATTCATCTACTCAAGGAGGTAAAAGGCATTTTCCATTATTCGAAGACAGAATTTTAACAGATTTGGGAGTGGAAATCAACCTCGTTGACTTCCACATAAGAGGTATAGGCCCTGGCTGCGCATCGATTGTATCAGTTTAAATCTCCGGATATTCATAATGTAAGCGGATTGAATTCTCTGTAGTGCGAGAAAAGGATCTTGTTAACCTGAATTTGTTGAGATTCACTGTTTCAGTCCATAAACTTAAGCAAAATGTTTTGATATTGTAATTCGAATGTTTCATTTTACTCGTGTGATTATCTCGATTAAATCTGCTAACCCGCTTAAATACAGTAAATTTGATCGAATTCATTGCTTTTAATTTCTTACCAAGGTAAACTTAGTTTAGATTACCAACATATACTTCGAGAATTATACATTTTATCCTCGCATTTCATTCAAAATACTCATTTTGACCCAAAGAATTCCGATGATTTTCAAGCTAATTACTGACATGCTTACTCTTGGTCTAGTTCATGTTTTGCGAGGAGATAATTGCCTCGATGGGAAGTGACTGGTTTCTGTATTTTGAAAATGCTAGTTGCTATCGTACGTTAGTGTATATAGTGGTTTGTTTGTAAGCGATATGGTAACATATACTAAATTGGAACCGTTTCTTGTACGTAGTACAACTATTGTAAGGTTAAGCATGTTATTATCTGACGTTATGCAGGCTTTCTTCATAAAGAGCTTCTTTTTGTAGCATCACTTTATGTCCTTTCACCGAAATATTGAGGAATGATCAGTCAGTTGTCTGACTGTGGAGCAAAGATACGCTGAAAAAGGAAACCGCGAGCCAAGCGGTCGCATAACGAAATTTGTTATCATGTTATATTTATGCTTTCGTGTTAGTCCTTTGCAATGTAAATTGTTTTGAAATTGCAGTTCGAGCTGAAATTGTCTATCATCCTCAAACGAATGTGATCAAAGAAGAGGGGAGTAATTTCACTTTGTTTTGTAATGCCACTGGAAACCCAATACCGATAATATTATGGACCAAAGATGGATCTCCCATAAACAACAATTCCAGGATCAGGTTTTCAATACATAACAAGCTGTTGACCATATCAAATGTGAACAGAACAGACAGCGGCCACTACCGATGTGTAGCGAACAACAGCTTGGGAAATGATACCTCAAACGTTTCTACTATTGACATCCAATGTAAGTTCCCATCTCACTACTGTACTGGTAAGAATATTCTACTTTCTTACTAAGGTATGAGTAGCGCTTTGATAATCAGCGTCGACTGACAGCAGCTTTCACGTTTTTTTCTCTAATTCACCCTTTATTTTTGTTTCCGCTGTACTCAACTTTTGATACTATTATTGTCTGATAAACATGGCCTTTGAATACATTTGCTCCCACTCTATGCAGTACACCTTTCATTATATGATTTTTTTATAGCAGAAAAAAGAATGTACTGTCATGTATGCATCTCCATGCAGACGTTTTGTTTATCAGTTATTTGCCCTTTGCTAACAAGATCAATTTCAAAATTGCAGATAAACCTGAGATTACTATTCGTCCTAAAAGCAGGGATATAGAAGAAGGAGGAAACGTGACATTTTCTTGTAATTCTACTGCAAATCCATTACCGACAACTTCATGGACTAAAGATGAGTCGCCTATAACTAGCAATTCGAGGATCAGTTATTCAGATGTAAATAAAGTTTTGACGATAACGAATGTCAACAGAAATGACAGTGGAGAATACAGATGTGTGGCGAGCAACAAACTTGGAAACGATACATCAAAAGCTGCTAAATTAAATGTGAAATGTGAGTTCATCGGATTGTCTTTTAAGATATCGATTCTCTTCCAAAGACCAATCTTTAATGTATTCTCCTGTTTCTTTATAATCAGCGTGCTCGGGTTTGCTTTAAAGTGGGAATTTGTTTCATTGGAAAAGGGGAATACCTTTCAGAATAATTAACCGAGTACCATTTGTATAGAGATACTGAGTGAATGAGGAACTAAGATAAAATTCATATCCGTTTATCTATTTCGTTTCAGATGAACCGGAAATTATCACTGATCCCTCTGATGACACGGTGAAGGAAGGACAAAACACCACCCTTTATTGTAACGCGACTGGAAATCCATTACCAGCAATATCATGGAAAAAAGATGAACATTCTATTGGCAATAATTCCAGGATCAGTTATTCAGCAGAGAGCAACGAGTTGAGGATAATAAATGTGAACAGAACAGACAGAGGAAAATACCATTGTGTGGCTAACAATAGCATTGGTAATGCCAGCTCACACGCTGCTACATTAGCTGTAGAATGTAAGTATTAACTATAATAGTAATAACAATAATAATAATAATAACGATTTTTAATGAAGGAACCCAACTCGCCAGGGCGGTTTTCAGTGGGGCCCAGTAAACTGTTCATTGAATTCTTGTAACTTATTCGGTAGAAAGTGAACTCGAGAGTCTGGAAAAACAGTCATTTTGTTCTTGCAGGTCATTTCAATTGGTTCAGCCATGTCTGCTGTAAACATGAACGACCACTGAATTGTCGATTTCAAAAAGATATTGGCGCTTATAGCTAGTGTTGCTAATGTTCATTGCAACTGTTTTACAATCGTAGATAAAAGTGAGATTACCACTCATCCTAGTAATGTGACAAAAACAGAAGGCGAAAACGTTACGTTACACTGTAATGCTACTGGATATCCGCTCCCTACTCTATCGTGGACCAAAGATGGGTCTGACATAAGTAACAATTCCAGGATCAGCTTTTCAGCAGACAAAAAGCAGTTGGCAATCACCAAAGCGAACCGAGTAGACAGAGGAGCATACCGATGTGTGGCGAACAACAGCCTCGGAAATGATACGTCTATGGCTGCTGTTGTAGATGTCCAGTGTAAGTCAACAACGAGTTATTTGGATCATTAACAAGGGCTCGATAGTCCTAAAAAAAGGCCGTAATGTTTTGGTTCGAAAAAGATTAACGGTTAGTTAAACAGCGGCTTTTAAGCTTCCCAGTTTAGATAAATTCAAGGTCGCCAGTTTTGTACTGTGGCTCTTAAGGACACTTTCTTGGGTTGCGAATTACGTCAAGCGGCAAACATGTCTGCTGCAGATGTGTAGCTGAAAACAGCAAGAATATAGCATATTCATCTGCAGCTACCCTCACAGTGCAGTGTGAGAATATTCGCTAGAAATGTTTTCAGATATTACCCAGTGTAGTTTCAAATGCCCTGTATTGCTGTGACATGCAATATTTTATTAAATTGCTTTGTTGCGTTCATAAGCTGTATGCCGTAGTATGATATGAGAGGAAACGTTGCCAAAGGAAAAAAAGACAACATTTAATAATGCTAATTGCCCTCTATAACCTGTCCTTAGCTTTTCGGTGGAGACTTTTAGAAATCGTTGACGGTAATTCTAATTTCTTGTTCTTTTTTGTTTCTTTTTTTGTTTGTTTGTTTGTTTGTTTTTTTCCTGCAGATGTACCAGACCCACCAAAGGATGTCAAAGTGATCTCGAGAGCTTCACGGGAAGTGAATGTCTCCTGGACGGCTGGTTCTAATGGAAACAGCGCCATTCAGAACTACACAGTGGAAATCAAAGAAGATAAGCAGACTTTCAGATATGCCATATGTCAAGGAACACTCTTAAAGAATAATTGTGTGATTTACTCCACAAGAGTTTCTATCAAAGAGCTGCTTCCTTGGACAACATATTACCTCAGGGTGTCTGCCAGGAACATGATTGGTTCTAGTCACTACAGCTCTGTAATAAATGTTACCACCGAAGAAGAAGGTGCTCTTTTTCTAACATTTTAAGTTCCTTTTCATTTGATAAATTCTATCATATACCTGTATTTTGAAGATTTCTTCGGCAACTGATAAATTGATTAAGTTGGTGTTGAGCTTTTACCACTTGTCTTACATTTACTTCGTGTCATTTGTCTGTTTGTTTTTTTGCGTTTTTTGCAATGTTTTGTTCGATATTTTTTAACTCTGCACTAGGCTTTACCTATGCCTTGAGTTGACTTTTTTAACTGTAAATGTATTGCTATTATACCATTGGGCTTTGTTAGAAAAACTCTATACTTCAATTCTATATTTCTTGTAACTCACTGGGAGAAATGTGCTATTATTTGTTTACAGAACCACGCTCCGCTCCACATTTTAACGTGACTGTCCTCAATTCTACTGCTGTTAACGTTTCTTGGCAGGTAGTAGACCCACTTTTTTTACCTAGCATTTATTAGAGTTTCCTGCTCCACTGACACCGTTATCAAAAGTTTTTTTAAATAGCTGTGCTCTATAACACTCAGAAAAAGACAACACTAAGACATGCGCAGCGGGCAGGTTGGACACTTTTGGTGACTTATTTACCAATTCACTATGGTTCCGAGTAGTCACAACTGTGCTAACATTACAATGAATGCATAAACATTTTTTGAACTGACCGCAGGAGCTAAAGAAATGAATTTATCGCATTGTATTGTAATACAATTTAGGAAGTGATGTTGCATTTAGTATATTTATCAAGTAATTGTGGCTAAAAGATATTAATATTCATCATCATTCATCATTATCGCTTGGAGAGACTGGAAACCGAAAGGAAATTGTGGAGCATGATTAAAATGCCGTGTGAGTAAATTATTACTCAACATATTAAAATTAATGGCAGTTTGATACCTTTGTTGATTGATTTTAATGTACTCGGCTCCCTTATCACAGTTTAGTATTATCATTGTCATCTAGATGCTCACTAAGGAAGACGCTAGAGGTGATATTCTGGGTTATTACATCCTGTACAAGAGAAAAAGCGAGCCAGAGGTACCATGGAAGAACAGAACTGTTAACAGAATGGATATCACGTTTTTAGTACTAGCGTCTCTAGATAAGTACACACCATACCAGTTTGCCATACAGGCCTTCAACAGCAAGGGTGTCAGCGATCGGAGTGAAATTGAGGAGAGAAACACAGACGAAGATGGTGAGTTGCTTAAACAGTCGTCCAATTGTTAAGAAGATGTCCGTCGACAAAGTGCTCAAAATATACTAAGCTATGTAATCATTAATATGCAACCAATACGCACTTATCTTACTTTTCTCTTAAGCCGGAGCAACTCCGACAGTATCAAAACATGACTGTTCTGTGCATTTTTTGTTTCTTTGCTCTATTTTTTAACTTATTTGTTTGAGAATATTAATCGTGTCTCCGTATTAATTTACGTTATTAAAACGTGAGCAGGGCGAAAATCCTCAAAGGGAGAACAAAATAGACAGTCCGAGTTTAAAAGGTTTTCACGCTCAGTTAGATTGCAAGCTTACATACGGTAATAAAAATCAAACACAGCTAACACTCGTATACCATTTAAAGTTTTGTGTTCAAAAACAGAACAAAACAGGAATGATGACAAATATAACCAAACTGGCATATCTGTTAAAATTCATACTAATCATGACGGTGTCAGAGCGAATATGATCATGCTGAGGTCCATCGCCGCTCGCTCGTCATGGCGATCTCCGGTCATTGCAGGGAAGCAAGCATCAGAAACTTTATCGGCCGTCCTTCGAGTGAAAAAAATAGGAGCTTGCTCTGATATGCTTTCCGATGCGTTAAGTGGAAAGCCACATCAGTCACTGCAGCCGAGTTTTGCGGCACTGTCATTCCGAGCGATCATCATGTTCCGGTGAATTCGGCTGTCGTTCATTTATAAAAAACTCCAATAAATAATAATAATAATAAATCCAGTGACCGACCTGACGTTAACTTGAAGTATATCGCTTGTATTTTATTGTACATGTTTTCTCCTTAAAATTGATTATATGCTTTTCAGTACCTTCCGAGGCACCGGAATGGATCTCTGCAGCAACAAAGAACAGCACTAGTATTGAATTGGCATGGAAACCTGTTTCTGAGCGTGATTTGAATGGCTACCTCACTAATTATGTCATAAGGTATACGGATGGCGAGGAAGAAATACAAAGGAAAGTGGGAAGATATAGAGAAGAAGTGGTAATAAATGGGCTCAGAGCATCGACCACGTACTCCTTTAACATTTCGGCTGCAACTGACAAAGGTGAAGGTCCACGAAGTAAACCCACGGAGGCTAAAACGAAAGGTGAGAGAAACAAACTAAATAGCTAATAATGATGATAACAATGATTTTAATAATAAAAATTTAATTTAAAAAAGCAATAACTTTTTGACGTTTTATAATTGTTCAAAAAATAATACCATCTTTGTTATTTTTTCGTAAATCTTGAATTAAAAAAAAGGGAAAGATAAAATGTAGCATGAACGCAAGTGACGACTGTTCTGATTTCTTCTCTTTTTAATAATATTGATGATAATAATTACATTAACAAGGATAAAAATGATTACAATAATAATAATATTGAAAGTAATAATAATGGTAATAGTGCCAATGATAACTATGAGAAACAAAAGACGTGCTCAACAAAAAACGTTGCGTGTCCTCTTGTTGTTCAAGGGTGAGAAAAAGGAAAAGACAATAAATAATTTCATGAAAGGATCTTTTAAAAAAATTCAAAATATCGGGAAATAAAGGAAAGTATCCTTCGCTCCTTTTGTGATTGAACCACCTTGAACAATGAGCAAGCATTTTCATCCTTTCGTGAAAAAGGTAAGTGGTCCTTGCATGATTGGTTTTTTAACTTATAGCCTTTCTAATGGGTACTGCAAAGATCTTAAGAACGACCTAAGGCAACTAAAGCTATTGAGTGATATACTTTGTATTTAAAGACAATGACGCCACCCATTATTGAATCTTTAATAAATGATGATAATGATAATCGTTTTGGTTGGTTGATTGTTATAATAATGATAATGTTAATTATAATAGTAATGATAATAATGACAATAATAACTATGGCAACATGCAATGGCAGGACTTGTGTAATAATTGATGTAAATCCATACTGACAGAAGTACACTAAACGTTACCAAAAATGATTTACCCACTTACTTCGCATTCGATTTTCCGGACTTACCGTCTCATGAACATTTAAATATTACGTAATTTCTAAATATTCCTTTTGATTTGCATTTATCTGTGTTTCTCTTTGTTGAAGACCCACCCACCCCTCCGGATCCTGACGACGTCGGGGCAAATGAAGTTTCTGTTGCCTTTAAACCCTGGCAAATTTTGAGTAATGGAGATAAAGTCAGGTTAGAATTGTTTATTTCATATATTGTTGGTTTTTTTGTCGGTTTTTCTAGCTCGAGATTGAATTGTGAATGATTCCAAAAGTCTAATCTTAAAGTTAATTCAATAAATCACCCCAATTATCACATGCAAATATCTCCTTAAAGGAGTTTTGACCCTTTCACTCCCGGATCTCATTAGCAATTCTCCTTACTATCTGCCATACAATTCTTATGAAATTAGTTCTGAGAATTTGGTATTGAATCAACTAATAATCCCCAAGCTGATATTTTTATTTATTTTCATCACTTGTCTGTTTGATAGTGTATTAATTTGGTATGGAGAAATTCTGTCTCAGTCATCCGTGGGAGTAAAAGGGTTAACCCTGTCATTGAAATTTGCTTTTTTTTTTTTTCTAAGTCGTGATAACTTTAATAAGGTCACTGCGTGCTTTCACTTTTATCATCTAAAGTTTGTTTAAGCAGATATCATGTTAAAACCTTACTTGTTTGCTCGTTTGAGAATTCGCTTTTTTTTATTATTCCTCTTTTACTTTAATGGGATGCCATTAAACTGGGTTTTGACTTTCTACATTGCTTAATAAATACCTTTTTTTATTTATTTCAGTTACTACCAAATCATCGTCGTACCACTTAAAGAAGGGAAAGATCCTGGAAAACCATCAGATAAGGAGTATGTTAATGTGATCAAAAGGTATGAAGATAAATCGGAGGGTGAACCCTACATTACGGCTGAATTTTCTAACGATAACAAACAGAGTAAAACCTTTCCTGTTGGAGATGAGAAGTACTATTCAAGAGGAGGAGGAAGTGGTGTTGTGGCAAGAAGAAAGCGCATAGAAGGTGAGTAATTTAATTATAAACTTTCTCCCAGTTGATCTGAATTACAAATTATACTTAAATACAGATTTAAGTTTCACAAACTGATTTAGCTGACTGCGTGTATCTATTTTGTTATATGCATTTCCTTACCTACTTGTTGGATTGCATCAGTCTGTATGAATACAGCGGTCGAAATGGAGAGGGGCAAAATAATTAAATAATTGAACGTCCTTTATATAAATTAAACTTGCTTAAGCTTAGATTCCATGCGATCATGGGGTGTTCTCAAGAGATAAAGAAAATTGTGGTGATCTAAAGGGAACACTACTGTGTGGATCAAAGTGCGCTCCGTCCAAACCTCCCAATTGTCTTGGTAGTATTTCCACGAAATTGCCTCGATTATTGCGAAACTTTTCCAAGACTATTCAGACGATCATGACGATCCAGAGAATCATACTTTCCCCTCCCATTCACTCACTATTGTATTTAAAAAAAAAAACACCAGTCGAGTAATAATATGCAACTTTTGGTGTCAAACTATTGGTAGGAAAAATATGAAGTGGATAATTTTCTAAAGAAACTGTGGTGCTGCGTCAGTGGGAGAATATAACAGGGTAATAAGTATTGTCAAATGAGTTGAAGACGTAAATTAGCCATCGTTAAGAGTTTCAAAGCTGACGCTTCGAGTGTTAGCCCTTCGTCAGAGTGAATGACGAAGGTCTAACGCCCTACACGTCAGCTTTTAAACTCTTTACGGTAGCCAATTCATGTCATCAACTCAGTTGCTAATATTAATTACCCTTTTAGTAGGAAG